GGACCAGGGTCACTGTGGGCCCTCCCCGTGGGGCGCAGCACACCATGCTCCCATGACTCTGCCTCCCAAACATCTCCTGATTCTGCCACTCCTCTCCACAGCCCACCCCCTTCGTTAGCCAGCCCATGACCTGGTCTCAGATTATTCCAGCATGCATTGTTCCATGGCCTGCCTGCCTGCAGTCTAACTGCCCTCACTATCCATCCTCCGCATGAACCAAGACGGGGATATCTGGTAAGACCTAAATCTCATGTTATCCTCTGCTCCAAAGCCTCCAGGGCTCCTCGTGGGTCTCAGGATAAAGCATTTTTTGTTTTTGTTTTTGTTTTTTTGAGACAGAGTCTCAACTGTGTCACCAGGCTGGAGTGCAGTGGTGTAATCTTGGCTCACACCAGCCTCCACCTCTCAGGTTCAAGCAAACCTCCTAGCTCAGCCTCCCGAGCCTCCCTGTAGTTGTGGGCCAGCTATGGGCCCACACAATCATGCCTGGTAAATTTTTGTATTTTTAGTGGAGATGGGGTTTCACTATGTTGGTCCGGCTGGTCTTCAGCTCCTGACCTCGAGTGATGCACCTGCCTTAGCCTCCCAAAGTGCTGGGATTACAAGTATGAGCCACTGTGCCTGGCCTAATTTTTTATTTATTGTTTATTTATTTCCTGTTTTGTCTTTTTTTGAGACAGAGTATCACTCTGTTGCCCAGGCTGGAGTGCAATGGCGTGATCTTGGTTCACAGCAACCTCTGCCTCCCCGGTTCAAGCAATTCTGCCTCGGCCTCCCGAGTAGCTGGGACTACCAGGTGCATGCCACCACACCTGGCTGATTTCTGTATTTTTGATAGAGACAGAGTTTCACCATATTGACCAGGCTGGTCTTGAACTCCTGACCTTGTGATCTGCCTGCCTTGGACTCTCAAAGTGCTGGGACTACAGGTGTGAGCCACCACGCCCAGCCCACAGTTCCCTCATTTTATCTGCGCTAAGCAGCCATCATCTGACTCCATTGCAACTTTCTTTTTGTTTTTGATGGAATTTCCCTCTTGTCACCAAGGCTGGAGTGCAATGGCGCAATCTTGGCTCACTGAAACATCTGCTTCCCAGGTTCAAGCGATTCTCCTGCCTCAGCCGCCCAAGTAGCTGAGATTCCAGGCACCCACCACCACACCCAGCTAACTTTTGTATTTTTAGTAGAGACAGGGTTTCACTATGTTGGCCAGACTGGTCTCGAACTCCTGACCTCAGGTGATGTGTCCACTTTGGCCTCCCAAATTACTGGGATTACAGGTGTGAACCACCAAGCCCAGCCTGGAGTTGTTCAAGATTTATACCCAGGAATGTGTTAGGTAAAGGGAGACACCCAGCTTCAGCTTCACCAGATGTTGCTAGATTGGTTACATTAATAGCCCTTGTTGGTCAACTGTTCTTTGTCTATCAGCACAGGCACAAAGTTGCCTCTACTCATGTCTATTTCGTCCAAAGAGAAGGATTTAACTCCATCTGTTGATGGCCAGACTGTCCAATCCCCTTCCCAAACTCTCCCACCCTCATCTTCTCCAACTGGGCCTCTTCTAAGCTTCCCCATTTGGGGCAGCCAGCACTTTATACAAGAATCAGAATGAGGCCAGGCACAGTGGCTCATGCCTGTAATCCCAATACTTTGGGAGGTTGAGGCGGGTAGATTACCTGAGGTCAGGAGTTCAAGACCAGCCTGGCCAACATGGCAAAACCCCATCTCTACTAAAAATACAAAAAATTAACCATGCATGGTGGTGGGCACCTGTAATCCCAGCTACTTGGGAGGCTGAGGCAGGAGAATTGCTTGAACCCAGGAGACAGAGGCTGTAGTGAGCTGAGATCACACCACTGCACTCCAGCCTAGGCAACAAGAGTCAAACTCTGTCTCAAGAAAATCATCATCATCATCATCATCATCAGAGCAAGGAGGCTGCCAGTGAGAGCAGCAGTGACCCAGTGAGGCCAATGGCCACAGATCTAATCCCAGGTGTAACTCTTCAGCTGTGTGCCCTTGGGCAAGTTACTTCACCTCTCTGAGCCTGTGTTTCCTCCCCTACATAATGGGGACACTAACCTGTAACCGACAACAGAGAATTCATGACGACGCATGAAACGAGTATGGCAATGCAGTGGGTGCTCCCAGAGGAGCCACTGTCACAGGTATGCACCACTGCACCTGGCTGACCTTGAATGGAGGCACTGTTATTATGACCCTTGAGTAGGAGATCCATCAGGGTGGTGGGAAAAATTATAAGAAAGACACAAAGCTTTTTGGAAGGCTGAAGTTTTTGCAAAAGCCTTGGGAGAGAATTTTGGCTGAAGGCAGCCTAATCCTCTTACCTTGAGCTAATAGCAAAGAGCAGATAACAAGGGAATGTAGAGGAGTTTATCTAAAGAGCTTATTTACCAATTTCTCCAGAAACCAGCCTTTGATCATACTCATGCAGAACTGCTCTCTACTGGGGGGTGGGGTCGGCAATGTTAATTACCCACTAATGGTGTTTGCTTTAGACCTTTTCATTAAATCTGTTCTAAAATAAATACAAGCCTCTCCGGCATATGGGGGTTTCACGGCCAGACTTCCTCTTCAGGATCTGTGAGCCAGGGGTCCCCTGGCCACACTCGCACAGGCAAAACATCTGTGTTTGTGTATTTCTGTCATCCTTCACCCAGACAGAGTCTGCCAGTCAGACTCAGCACCTTGGAGTCCACAGAGAACTGCCAACAACTTTGCATCTCAGAATGACTTTGGCTGTAGTGACAGAAGCCCCAAGTCAAGCTAACTAAAGACAAACTGTCATTTATTGGCCCACATAATGCTTCAGGTATGTCCAGATCCAAGAGTCTTTTATTTATTTATTTATTTTGAGACAGAGTCTTGCTCTGTTGCTTAGGCTGAAATGCAGTGGTGTGCACTCCACCACAACCTCCACCTCCCAGGTTCAAGTGATTCTCCTGCCTCAGCATACCAGGTAGCTGGGATAACAGCACCCACCACCACACCCAGCTAATTTTTCTATTTTCAGTAGAGATGGGGTTTCTCCATGTTGGCCAGGCTGGTCTCAAACTGCTGACCTCAAATGATCCATCCACCTCCAACTCCCAAAGTGCTGAGATTACAGGCAGGAACTACCACATCCAGATCCAGGTTCCCGGCCCGGATCCAGGAACGTTAATGGCACTGTTAGGAAGCTGGCTCTGCCCCTCTCCAGGCCACTCTCTCCCCCACGCAGGCTTCATTCTGAGCAGGCTCTCCAAGTGGTGGCTCCAGGCCTGCATCTGTCCAACTTAATCACTGCCCTGAGCAGATGGACCTTCTCCCAGCACTTCCTGCCCAGATCCCAAGACTGCTCCTCACTGGCCCAGGCAAGGTCACATGCCCATACCTGAGTCAATTGTGATGGCCGGGAAAAAGATGGTGACCTTGGCCCATGTCTGGGTCATGTGTTCAACAATCTGCAGGCCAGGTGCAGTCACTGACCTTAAATCCCAGGGAGACGCTGAGTGCAGTGGCTCATGCCTGTAATCCCAGCACTTTGGGAGGTCAAAGCAGGGGAATCACTTGAGCTCAGGAGTTCAAGACCAGCCTGGGCAACACGGTGAGACCCCCATCTCTAAAAAAGATAAAACATTATCGGGGCATGGTGGCATGCATCTGTAGTCTCAGCCACTCAGGAAGCTGAGCTAAAAGGGTCACTTGAGCCCAGGAGTTCAAGGCTGCACTGAGCCATGATTGCACTATTGCATTCCAGCCTGGGTGACAGAGTGAGACCTCATTTCCAAAAAAGAAAAAACAGGCTGGGTGTGGTGGCTCACACCTGTAATCCCAGCAATTTGGGAAGATGAGGCAGGCAGATTACTTGAGGGCAGGAGTTTGAGACCAGCCTGGCCAATACGGTAAAACCCATCTCTACTAAAAATACAAAAATTAGCCGGTGTGGTAATGGGCGCCTGTAATTCCAGCTACTCGGGAGGCTGAGGCAGGATTCGCTTGAATCCAGGAGGCAGAGGTTGCGGTGAGCTGAGATCGCACCACCTCCAGCTTAGGTGACAGAGAGAAACTCTGTTTAAAAAAAAGAAAAAGAAAAACAAACACACAATCTCTAAAACTGCATGGAATGAAATTGGAAAAGGAGTGAATCACAGAGGAAAGCCAAGGTAAAATTCCCAAAATAAGGGGAAATGGAGGCCGGGCGCAGTGGCTCACACCTGTAATCCCAACACTTTTGGAGGCCAAGGTGGGTGGATCACAAGGTCAGGAGTTCAAGACCAGCCTGGCCAAGACAGTGAAACCCCATCTGTACTAAAAAATATAACAATTAGCCAGGCGTAGTGGCAGGTGCCTGTAATCCCAGCTACTCAGGAAGCTGAGGCAGAGAATTGCTTGAACCTGGGAGGCAGAGGTTGCAGTGAGCTGAGAGCACACCACTGCACTCCAGCCTGGGCGACAGAGGGAGATTCTGTCTCAAAAAAAAGAAAAGCCAGGCATAGTGGCTCATGCCTGTAATCCCAGCATTCTGGGAGTTGGAGGTGGGCAGATCACGAGGCCAAGAGATCGAGACCACCCTAGCCAACATGGTGAAGCCCCATCTCTCTACTAAAAATGCAAAAATTAGCTGGGTGCAGTGGCACGCACCTTAGTCCCAGCTGCTCGGGAGGCTAAGGCAGGAGAATCCCTTGAACCTGGGAGGTGGAGGGCTGCAGTGAATCGAGATCCTGCCACTGCACTCCAGGTGGGGGGCAGCGGATAGATCCCAGCCTAGTAAAAGCCATAGATGTGCCCTCCCCCATACTCTTGCTCCTCAAGAAGGGGTTCATGGAACAGCAGCATCAGAATCACACCGGAGCGGCTCAGAAATGCAAAGTCTCAGGCCTGTCCCAGGCTACTGAGTCAGAACCCGCCCTGCAGCAAGGTCTGCTGGTGAGTCACCCACACATCAAAGTCTCAAAAGTGCTGTGCTGCATAGTAACTTTTTCAGTTGCTTAGACAATTTTTTAAGTTCTGTTTTATTGAGAACCACAAAAGTTAAGAACTAAGAGAGTCCTCCCAGGTCATCAGGTCCAGTGCCTTGGTCTAAGGACGGCGAAGCCATTGTCACAGCCAGCAGCTGCCATGTCCTGGGACCGTCTCATGGGGTGATGCGTCCTGAGCCCCAGCAGCGCCAGCGCAGGTCAGAAGGCCTCATTCAGAAGGCAGGTGTCCCAGCCACTGTCTGCTGTCACTCACAGCCCCTGGCTGAGCCCCCGTGGAGGATGGAGACCCACAGACACACACACACAGATATCTCCAAATCTCTGACTCAGACTCGCACATGTGCACACACACAGACGCACACTCAACAAAGACACATACAGGCCTTTATTCTATTACACAGAGTAGGGCTAGGGCCAGAGCAGGTCACTCTCAGGCTGTCAGAAGGTGCAGCGTGTTCAGGGACCACAGGCCAAACCCCAAAGTGATAATAAGTTACGGGAGGGACTCTTGGGCTGTTGTCAGGCTGGAGCCAGGGCAGGATGCCAAGTGAGGACCCCAGAGCCTCTTCCAGCTGCCCAGCTCAGCCCTCCCAAGGCAAGCCTGGTTCCCGGACAGACTTGGCTTCCACTGAAACGCAACAGAGCAGGGAGGGATATGAATCAGGAGGCGGGCGGGGTCAGCAAGCACCCAGAGGCAGAGGGATAAGCTGGAGGTAACAGCAGGAGTTAGGCAGGGGGTCCTGGAGGGAGGGGGTAGAGCCTGAGGGCCCAGGCCAGGGTGGGGACAGGACAGGCTTCTCACCAGACCCTCAGTTCAGCTCCTGCAGATTCTCGTAATCTGGAGCCCCCTCCTCCTCCACTTCCTCTGCCTCCTGGGAACTCAGGGTAGCTGTGGGGGAGGGGAGGTTGGTTTCCAGCTTGCAGGCCAGCCCCCACAAGCTCGAGGCAGCTACCCCAGCTCCTGCCCCTCCCACAGCACCCACCAGCCTCCGTCTTAGCCGCTCCAGGATGCAGCTCCTGGGACACGTTCACATACTCCCGGCTGCCATCTGTAGGGACAGATCAGAAGGAGGGGTCGCCATGCAAAGGGGTCAGAAGGGCGAGAGAGCAGGGGGGCCCCCAGACAGAGGGGGCAGCGGGTGTGGGTAACCCCAGGATGGGGTCTAGTCACACCGAGAGCATGGTAGGGCGGCGGGGTGCATGGGCGGGCACCAGGGAGCACCGGTCACTCACCCAGAGACGCTTCTGCGCTCTCCCCGCTCTCCGGAACGTTCACGTAATCGTCAATGGACTCCACTGTGGGAAAGCCAGCCCCACCCCAGCACTATGACCAGAGACCCTCGGCCATGGGTTCCCAGAGAACCCCCAACCTCAGGCATGCAGAGCTCCCCAACAGCAGACACCAGAGGCTCCCCACACAGCTACCCCCCATTGGCCCCACAGAATGGAGAGCGGGCACTCCAGGCTGGCAAGGATGGTGATGATGACAGTGATGGTGGCCTGGACAAGGGTGAGGGCCGTGGAGAGGGAGAGGAGGTCCACGTGACCGGGACTGAGAGCTCAGGGAGGGTCAGGCCCCAGCACAGACTCTAGGCTGGGGAGCAGGGATGGAGTGCGGCTTGGAGCAGTGGAAGTTTGGTGGCGTGTGTGGAGGGGACATGGCACCCTCGGCCCAGCGGGTGCCTCCTCCTCTCTGAACCCCCTGCCCACCCCTGCCAGCCACTGCCCGTGTCCCACCCATGTCAGCCCCTTGTGGCGCCTGTTACCATCCATGTTATTTGGGGGGTTTTGTTTATTTTTTTTGAGACAGGGTCTCACTGTCACCCAGGCTGGAGTTTAGTGGCACGATCTCGGCTCACCGCAACTTCTGCCTCCGGGTTCAAGTAATTCTCCCACCTCAGCCTCCTGAGTTGCTGGGATTACAGGTGTCCACCACCACATTCTGCTAATTTTTGTATTTTTAGTAGAGACGGGGTTTTGCCATGTTGGCCAGGCTGGTCTTGAACACCTGACCTCAGGTGATCCACCTGCCTTGGCCTCCCAAACTGCTGGGATTACAGACATGAGCCACTGTGCCCGGCCTATTTGCTTTTTTGTTTGGTTTGTTTTGTTTGCTTTTGTTTTTAGACAGTCTTGCTCTGTCGCCCAGGCTAGAGTGCAGTGGCATGATCTCGGCTCACTACAACCTCCATCTCCTGGGTTCAAGCGATTCTCCTGCCTCAGCTTCCCAAGTAGCTAGGATTACAGTTGCATGCCACCACACCCGGCTTAAGTTTGTATTTTTAGTAGAGACGGGTTTCATCATGTTGGCCACACTGGTCTCAAACTCCTGACCTCAGAGGATCTGCCCTCCTGGGCCTCCTAGTGCTGGGATTACAGGTGTGAGCCACCGCACCCGGCCTGTTTGGTTCTTTTACGTGTTTCTTGTTTCTCCGTGCAAATGTGGACAAGGCGGGCTTCAGAAACAGACTGCCCTGGTTCAATCCCAGCTCCAGCACTAAGCAAGCATGTAACCTCAGCCTGGGGACCTCACCTCTCTGTGCGTCAGTTTCCTTCTCTGTAAAATAGGGCCTGTCACACAGTAGTGCTATTAGACAGGTAAACCCTGTGTCACACAAGGGGACAGCTGGGGCACAGGAGGGTGAGGGCAGGAAGGTGGCCCCGGGGTGGCAAGGTTAGTGAGTGGGCACGTCAGACTCTTAGCAAGGCATGCAGAAGGCCCTCAGTGAATGTTTGCTTTTTCTTTCTTTCTTCCTTTCTTTTCTTTCTCTGTTTCTCTTTCTTTCTTCCTTTCTTTTCTCTCTCTTTTTCTTTTTTTTTTTTTGAGACAGAGTTTCACTCTTGATACCCAGGCTGGAGTGCAATGGCGCGATCTTGGCTCACCGCAACCTCCGCCTCCTGGGTTCAGGCAATTCCCCTGCCTCAGCCTCCTGAGTAGCTGGGATTACAGGCACGCACCACCATGCCCAGCTAATGTTTTTGTATTTTTAGTAGAGACGGGGTTTCACCATGTTGACCAGGATGGTCTCGAGCTCTTGACCTCGTGATCCACCCGCCTCGGCCTCCCAAAGTGCTGGGATTATAGGCGTGAGCCACCGCACCCGGCCCTCTCTCTCTCTTTCCTTTGACGGAGTCTTGCTCTGTCGCCAGGCTGCAGTGCAACAGCGTGATCTCCCCTAACCACAACTTCCGCCTCCTGGGTTCAAGTGATTCTCCTGCCTCAGCCTCCAGAGCAGCTGGGATTACACGTGCACACCACCACGCCTGGCTAGTTTTTTGTATTTTTAGTAGAGACTGGGTTTCACCACATTCGCCAAACTGGTCTCAAACTCCTGATATTGTGATCCGCCTGCCTCAGCCTCCCAAAGGCTGAGGGGATTACAGGCATAAGCCACCGCGCCCAGCCTCTTTCTTTAGTTTTTTTTAAAAAAAACAAGGTCTCACTCTGTCACCCAGGCTGGAGTGCAGTGGCACGATCTCGGCTCACTGCAACTTCTGCCTTCTGGGCTCAGGTGATCCGCACACCTCAGCCTCCTGAGCAGCTGGGACTACAGGCACGTGCCACCACGCTTGGCTAATTTTTTTTATTTTTTGTGGAGATAAGGTTTCGCCATATTGCTCAGGCTAGTCTTGAATTACTGGACTCAAGCAATCCTCCCGCCTTGGCCTCCCAAAGTGCTGGGATTACAGGAGTGAGCCACCACACCCAGCCAGCCATTTTATCAGAACAGTCTGCCTCCTTAAATGTTACATTCATAGCATTAGCCCAGTAGAGGCACCGAAGTAAACGCCGAAGGAAGGAAGAAAGGAATGACTGACTGAATGAATGAATGAAGTACTTGGACAGTCTGGAGCTCAGGAGAGAGCAAACTAGGAATCTGGATGGCAAACAAGGCCAGAGTATAGAAGTGATAGCCCAGGACAAGTATACACAGAGAGAGCAAAGGCAACAGAAAACTAAAGAATGCTGGACATTGAGGAAAGCCCAGAGGATGTGACCAGGCAGGATGAGACCAGAAGGAAGGGAGAAAAGCAGCTCAAAGGAAACAGGGCAGTTCAGGGAGCAGAAACACACACACACACACACACACACACACACACACACACACACCAGCTTCTAATTAATATCCTTAGAGATGTATAAGATGGTATTGCCTCCATGAAACAAGAACAGGAGGCTATAAAAAAAGAACAGTCAGAAAACAACAAAGAGTTTCTGGATAGGATAAAAAATGAAATTGCAGTGGAAGGGTTGAAGAATAAAGTCAAGGAAATCTCCCAGATGATATAAGGAAAGAACAGGGAGGTGGGAAAGAGGAGAGAGAAAGTTAAGAAAATCAGAAGAACAGACCTGGACACGGTGGCTCATGCCTGTAATCCCAGCACTTTGGGAGGCTGAGATGGGAGGATCACTTGAGCCCAGGAGTTCAAGGCCAGCCTGGGCAACACACTGAGACCCTGTCTCTACAAAAAATTGTTTAAAATAAGCTAGGTGTGGTAGTATGCGCCTGTGGTCTCAGCTACTGGGGAGGCTGAGGCTGACCGAGTAGTCTAGTTGGGAGAATCACTGGAGCCCAGAAGTTTGAGGCTGCAGCAAACTACAATGGCACCACTGCACTCCAGCCTGTCCCTAAAATAATTAAAAAATAAAAACAAATGCCTGACTCACTGGAGAAGGCGCTGTCTCGAAGGCCAGGGGTGCTGAGCGCAGGAGCCGGTGGGGCGGCAGTGCTAGTGGCCGGGGCGCTGTCGGGAAGCACCACCCTGAAAGGAAGTGAAACGGGCTGGTGAGCAAGGGGGACGCCCAGCCTGAGCCCCCACCTCCCACCTCCCACCTCCCACCTGGCCACTCACAGGTAGCCCGGGTTGTGATAGTCGTCCTCGTCCTCATCCTCATCCGCGTCCTCACAGGCTGGTTCTGGGGTAACAACACAGGGGTCAGCCTAGCCCAGGACGGGCCCCAGCCTCCCCACCCAACCTGGGCACCTCGGATCCCAGACGCACCCTCGTTCTCGTAGCTCGGCACACTGTTGGCTTCAGAGACAGGACGAGAGGGAGACTGAGTCAGCTCAGGCCAGGCAGATCTTCTTCCTGGCCCCGGCCTCCTCAGCCCTTCCCCACACTTACCACCATCTGAGTCCCGCCGGGAAGATGGCGTCCGGTGGGAGCCTCCGGGGGGCTGTGGGGATCTTCTAGGGGTCAAAGGTCAGGGGTCATGGCTGAGGTGGGGCTCAGGGGGCAATGGCAGTTGCAAAAAGGAAAGGGCTACCAATCCAAGAAGGTGAGGGGGTGGAGGGGGGTTTGGAGGGGTAAGGGAGCAGCTACTCACGGGATGGGAAGCAGGTCTGGCTGGCTCAGTGGTGGGTAGGAGGTGACAGGCGGATAGGCGGGCGGCCTGGGGGCGAGCGTGTCTGAGGACACAGAACAAGTTGAAAGAAGGACTCCACACATCGTCAAGGCCTCAAAGAACAGACTAAGCTCCTGAAACTCCCGCACCTTGGACAGGCCTGGGGGTACCACCTCCCTCTCCCAGCTCAGGTCAAGGCCATGTGGGCAGCCCCAGGGTGGCAGGGGGAGGCTGAAGGAAGGCTCGCACGCACTCCAACGCCAGGGGACCCTCTCCCCGGCACCGGAGGCAGGGGACCCCCTCCCCGACACCAGAGGTGGGGACCCTCCATGTACTCACAAGGCCGTTTGATCTGGATGCCCCTTGGATACAAACTGGTAAAAAAGACACAGCTTGGGGATGGGGCTGGGAGAGGCCCCAGTCCTGCCCCACCGTGGGGTGTGGAGGGAGACCCAGGGCAGCCGGGGCAGACTCACCTATCTGAGGAGGTGCTGTCATAGGAGCCTGGGAAAGAGAGGGCTGCTAAGGCAGGAACACGGGGTGCTGAGGGCAGAAGGTGCGGGGGGTCCAGGGGCTCTCAGAGACACTGGGATCAGGACGGAGGCAGGGACAGAGCCAGGACAGACACAGGGGCTGGGGGTGGGTAAGGATCCCATCACTGTTCCCACTCACCATTCCCACTCACCTGGCAGCCTGTGGCAGTGCACACACAGCACCATCAACACCGCCAGGATGGGCAGCAGCAGGAGGCCCAGCACGCAGGGGACCAGGATGGTCTCCTCCATCTGCAGGGGAGCTCGGAGCAGGCCGGCTTACCCCCCAGGCCCCTCAAGGGTAGAGCCACGGCCAGGCGAGGACGAGGTGAGGACCAGGTAAGGACTGGGTGAAGATCGGACCCAGCAGGGGGCAGGTAGGCAGCAGGCGGCGTGGGAGCCCAGGAGGCGGCGTGGGAGCCCAGGAGGAGGCGGCGGTTCCCTCCCCGGGGCTCCCTGGATGGGTCCCCTCTTTTTCTGGGCCGAGTGGGCTTCCAGCTGGCTGTGGGAAGTCTCTGCTCCCAGGGTGGTCAGACCAGGGCCCCGACTGAAGTTGGGGGACCCAGACACCCGTGTCCCGGCCCTACCTGCCCCTCCTCGGCGCCCGCCTCTCCCTGTGCCTGCCCGCCCGCCCGCCTGCGGCAGGAAGCTGTGGTGAGCACCGGGCGAGGGCAGGAAATCATCGAGCTCTCAGCCGGCTGTACCCGCCCCCTTCCCACTCCACCCCGCCAGTGGGGAGGGGGCAGGAGGAGGCCCGGGAGCCACCCCAGGCTCTCACCAGGGGTCTTTGGGCCCCCAGGAATGGGATAGCCACCTGCCGCCTGGCAGCTACGGCCTCCACATCCAGGGCTTGGGGAGGCAGCAAGTGGGGAGGCCCTGACAGCAGGAATTCTGGGGTGCAGAAGGCAGTGCCCACCCCCACGTCAGCCAGGCCTGCGAGGCCAGGGGCAGGCTCCAGAGAAGCAGGGACGTGACTCACGGTCACACCGAGCCAGCTCACTCGGAGGAGAGCAGTCCCCGCTCTCAGTCACCCAGCCCAGAAGGGCAGAGACTCACTCAGAGCCCCAAGGGGTGACCCACAGACTTCGGGAGCCCTGGGGTGAAGGCGGGACACAAGATCAGAGGCCACCCAGAGAAAGACTAGAGCAGGCACCTGGGGTCTGGCTACAAATTTTATTCCATAACAAATAGCACCGAGCCCCCGGGGCTGCCCTGTGGAGGGGGATCCCCTGCTGGACCCCCACCTCCTCCTCTGAGCTGCCCATGTAGTGTCTGGGAACTGGGACACGGCCGAGGGTCCCTCTGGAAGCTGCGCCAGGCCAAGGGGTTAGGCCCAGGCCCCTTGTGGGGTGGGCCCAGGGCCAGCTGCGGCAGATGTGCAGGCAGGCAAGCGGCGGCCTCTCAGATGAGCACGCTGGCCACGGGCACCCGGGTGGAGCGGCCCCGCTGGGGCACCACGATCCGGTCATCTGTGGGCCCTGCCTCACGCAGCAGGCCTGCAGGGGGAGGGTCAGAGCCAGGGTGAGCCGGATAGACAGACAAAGCCAGAGAAGGGCAAACAGGCAGCGGGAAATGGATGGGGCAGTCACAGAGCCGCCCAAGGGGTAGACGCAGACTGGAGGCCACCCGAGGGGAGAGCTGTGGACTGAGCCACCAGGTGCACAGAAGTGGGCAGACAGATGGACGGACAGACAGACAGGCAGATCAAGAAGCTCGGCAGGGCACAGCCCCTAACTGACCCTGCATGTGCAGCTGCGCCCGCCGGCGGTCGCCCTCAATGAAGATGGCAGTGCCCAGGAAGGCCGCGCCGCCCAGTGCCCCGACAAACGCACAGAGCATGAGTGAGAACTGCAGAGCCCGGAACTCGGACAAGAAGGAGGGGGGCCAGCTCCGGCGCAGGCGGTCAGAGATCTGCGGGGAGAGGAGACAGGAGAGCCAGGGAAGTCAGAGAGCCTTGCAGAAGAGCCGGGAGGGCACCTCCTGAGCTCCAGGGAGAAAGACAAGCGGAGCCCGGCAAAGGAAAGGAGGTTTCAGCCAGGAGCGGTGGCTCGTGTCTACCATCCCAGCTCCTCGGGAGGCTGAGGTGGGAGGATCGCTTGAGCCCAGGAGGTTGAGGCTGCAGTGAGCCGTGTTCCTGCTACCACACCGCAGCCTGGGCAACAGACTGAGATCGTCTCAGGATGGGGAGGGGGGAGGGGGGAAAGGAAGGAGGAGGGGGAGAAGGGGAGGGGGAGGGGGAAAGGGGAGAGGGAGAGGGGGAGGGGGGTTTAGACCACCAGGGTGAGGTCCCTGGTAGCAGAGTGAGATCCTGTCTCAGGAAGAAAAGGAAAAGGGAAAGGAAAGGAAAAGAGGGGTTTGGACCACCAATTTGAGGTCCCTGGCCTTCCTGGCAGAAATCGTCAAAGACATAATCTTTCCGGCCCAGGGGCAGCGGAAGGTGAGAAGCACCCGGCACACAGGATGTAAACATTCCACTAGGGCCAGGCCTTCTGGTCCAGCCCAGGCTCAGGCCACTGGCCAAGGCTGGAAATGTAAGTTCTCCCACTCCCCGCCCCATGCCAGCCAAGGACCATGCTCACCAGGCCGATGAGGTAGGGGCTCCCAGCGTCGCCCAGCAGGTGGGACAGCACGATCTGGAAGGCCTCGGCGGTGGAGCGTCGGGTGGGGATCACCACGTACTGTGGAGGAGTTGGTGGAGCTCAGCGGGTGCTCTGAGCTCCAGGGAGCAGGAGGCAGGGGGCCAGGAGAACGCCAAGGGTCCTCCAAGGCCGGGGTCAGAGGTGTGCCTGGGGTCGAGGTCACAGGGCGGGCCAGGGGTTCGCTACAGATATTATTTATTGCAGAAGGTAAGCTGGGGCTGGGCTTGGAGGGGGCAAGGTAACACTCCTGCCCCCAACCTTCCTCTCATCAGCCTCTAGGCTGACCCTGGAGGTACCCAGCAACTCACCAGCAGAATGTCAGCCACGATGGCCCAGTTCATGGACAGGAGGGTCTCTCCAATGAAGATGAAAATCTGGGGAATGAGAGAGGGGTGGCAGGTTCGTGACAGTAAGGGCAAACACATGGAGGGTTGACCATGTCCCCAGCTCATCCATTAACTCATTTCATCCTTACCACAACCCGGTAAGACAGGTGCTACTAATACTCCCATTTCACACATGATGACACTGAGCACAGAGAGGTTAAGCCACTTGCCCAGTGTCACACAGCTGAGAAGAACCAGAGCTGTGATTCAAAACCAGGCATTCCACCTCGAGTGGCCACCATGCTGACTGCTCCTCCACCCTGGACCCACACCACCCCCCATCACACCTGCTGGCTACTCACATAGGTGGCCACAATGCTACCACGGGCACAGGCAAGGGACAGGAAGAGGAAGGGTGCGGAGCCCAAGAGGCCAGCAGCACACACCAGGGGGTCAGCGCGGGGATTGGAGCGGCGGAGCCGGCGGCTGATCTCCACGCCCAGGCCCACACCCAGGACTCCAGTCAGGCAGGTGATGAAGCCAAAGATGAGACTGAGTGAGGAAGGGGGAGAGGGGTCTGTCCATCCCAGCCACCCTCACAACCAAGGTCCCCCCAGACACACCACCCCATGATTCACGCAGCCCCGAGCGGCAGACATCACCCCATCACTTATTTCCCAGACCAGCAAACGGAGATCCCAGGAGCGTAGGCCGCCTGTGAAGTCAGGAGTCAAACTCCCTGCCTGGGTCTGAGGCACGGAGGCTCTTCACTCCAGCCCTCCCACCCACAGGCCGCCCCCCAGCCTAGCCCCATCTAGGCACCTGTCAGAGGAAGAACAGGAGTCTCCGGGAAGGCAAGGTGGAGTCTCCCCGAGGACCACTCGGGAACGCAGCAGGAACGCCGGAGCCCACAGAGCCAGGGAGCCCGTGACAAAGGCCACAGCAGTGAAGCCCAGGGAAGACAGGATGAAACTAGGACTGCAGGGAGTTGGGAGGGAAAGAGTCACACCCCACGGAGGCGTCAAAGTAGGAGGGGTCCTCTCTTCTCCCTTCCTGGTTTATTTTAGTAAGGTCACAACACCAGGTGCAGAGGCTGTTCCGGGTCCCAGGATCTGGGCCTGTAATTCAAGCAGCTGCCACAAGGGGGCAGTAGCGACTGAATTCCCGGCCTCGGGGTGTGGCCAGGAACAGGAACATCCCCACTTAAACCTCAAACCAGAGGTCAGGGCCTCCCTGGGGCCTCAGATGGTGGTCTAGGGTGGGAATAAACTCACTTTCTTGCCAGAGCCCTCAGATCTGCCCACCAGGAGGTGGGGTTCAGGGGTGGCGAATCAGAGTGGCGCTCCACGGCTCCCCTTGGTGGCTCACGCACTACCAGGAACAGCAGCAGAACGGCCACCACTCCTAGACCCGGTGTCACCTGGGGAGAGAGGGGACTTCAGGACAGGCACAGGCAGAGACACACTCAAGCCCTGGGCTGGGGGAGAGTGTGGGGTACAAATAACTCCAGCCTGAGACCTAAAATACCCAGTTAAGTGCCTGTTCCAAGAAGCCAAACCTGCAATTTGGAGGAAGGGGGTTGCCACTAGGGAACACCCCATTTTTGCAAGCCTAGCTTTGCTTCCTCTTTGGTAATTTTCTTTTGGGAAACCAGTACCCCTACTTCTCTCAATCCATTTGGTTTAAATAGGATCCCAGACTTGGCTGACAAGAGGACTCTTTTTTTTTTTTTTTTTTTTTTTTTT